TGGGGAAGGGCGCCGGCGGCACCCGGTCACACCGGCGGTGTGTCGGTGGGACAACCGCATGGGGAGGGGAGTTACACCGCGCAGCGTTCCCTCAGCTACTTTGCACCTTGTCTTTTTTAGCAGGCGTTTTACAGCATCGTAATGCTACAGCAGCGCATTTATCTGGGAGAACGTGTACAGAGAATATAAAGATATGTTGCTTTTGCTGTTGAAAAGTTTATTGTTACAACTCTGCCATTTGGGATTAATTGCATATGATTAACATTCCTGGCACTCGGCATGCAGGGTTTGTTTTGGGGTGGATTTCTTTTGGTTTTTCATTGCACTTAATAAAGTCAGAATTTAAATACTTTTAATTACTTTCCGAAGTTGGCAGCGAAATGGTGTGGACTGGGTAGGGGAACAATGAAATCCTGCTTTCCTGGTGATACTGTTTGGCTGACGTTGCCTGAATTAGGTTGCAATCCCCGCAGCGGAAGAAGATGTGGTTATTTGAATGCCCCCGCCGCAGCTGGATGGTGCCAAGGCTGGCTGAGAGCGTGCAGCCTCTTTTGTGTGTGTGTGTTTCTGTTATTTTTTTCTTTTCTTTTACTTTTCCAGCCTATTCCTCTCCCCTCAGCCCTTCATCTTTCACATCCTACCCATTCCCTAGCAGACTGCCTCTGGTTTCCCACCCCCTTTCCTCCTTGCCCTCCTCCCCACACCCTCTTCTACTTCTAGGCACTCCACATTTTGCGGGAGCCAAGGCTCCTTCCAGCCTCAGACAGAGCAGGCGGAACAGGTTCAGTAATGTGATCGTTCCTCACATGGAAGCAACAGTTCTGCCAGAAAAACTCGCAGACCCTTAAATCAGACTTTTGACAGGTCTCCTTGCAAGGCTTTTAAGTTCCTTGATCTGTCACTATTAGCTGGAGAAAAGAAGTGTTTAAGAATTTTCTGAGCTTGGTTAGGACAGCTCATCCTGGGGAGGAATGCAGGCTTTAACCTCAGAAATTGCCAAACTGCACGAAATCCAGCCACCACAGGGTCTGGGATCTTGAGTCCAGGAGTGACCAGCTCCAGGTCTTTTAACAGAAGGAATGGCCAAGCAACCACAGAGTAGTCCGTTCCCATAAAAGACTTCAAGATTTAGGAATTTTTTTGTTGGGTTGATGTTCCTTCTGATATGCATTTTAGCATTAGCTATGATCATTCTGGGTAGTTTTCTTTTATACTGTTTTTAATCTTCAAACCTTCTTGGATTCCTCCATCCCACAGCAGTGAGCTGGTCAGAAATAAACATTTCTTTTTATCAGCTGTATATCTGCTGTCACTTTAATTTCTTGATTCACCACTGTTCTTCTTTCATGACACCATAAAGTAAAAAAGCCCCTTCTCAGGAGCATCATTATTTGTCATTTTGCACTTTCATCACCTTTATCCTTCCTAGTCATGAGCTGTCCCTTGGAGTCCATGTAAGCCAGGACAGAATCCATACTGACCATCATGGGCAACCCACAGTTCTTAAAAGACTTCACCAGGACTCTCTGTAATGGCTGCAGACAAGACTTAAAGACAGCTGAACTTTAAAGCACCCACCATGAATGTCCATAGGATGAGGCTGAAGGCCTTACAAAGGCTGGAGCACTCACTCTCTAAACTCCAAATCATCAAACGTAGGTCTTACCTTGCTTAGAGGCCTTCAAAGAGCTCAGCGCAATAGCAATGAAGAATGTTGATTTAAAGGGAACAAATTTTGGCTTAGTGCAGCATGTCTGGTTTGCCTCCAAGTTTCTTGTGCTGGATCTATTTGCCTTATGGAAATTAAAACCTCTGTAGGCTCCCCCAACAGTGCAGATAAACCCTTTTTAGAAGTCTGAATATGAACTTAGATTCACAAGAGCTCTTGGAGGTTGGAGACTATAGTTAATAGATAAACATGAATTAAAATTGCAAACTGCTATAATACTGTCAAAATTTTTCTCTTTACCTTTTCCTCAAGTCTTCTGAAAAGCAGAGATGAAGGCCTTCCCAAGCAACTTGTTAGAAGTAATGACTGGCTCACATATTTACTGGCACAAACAAGGAGAAGACCAAAATCTGCTAGTTAAAGGTTTAGACGGTGCCATTTCCTCTGCTTAATCACACAAAGTGAAGTACTTTGGTGCACCGGAGTTTCATATATAATAGCAATAGGAAAGGGGACTTAAAGAACTTTTTCTATACAGTGGTTCATTGGAGTCTCATGTAATAACATGATTCCTGTATCTGGGCCTTTAAAAAAAACAGCAAGTATTGTAAAACTTATGGAATAAACAGGTGAGCTATAGTTATAAATATTTCTGATGAGCAGCAGTACCCATTGCTAGCCAGTTTTCCATTGGAGGAAAAAATCAATCCTGTGGACTCATATGATATGAATCTAATTAATTTTGTTTATCCACTTGAACCAGTCTGGAACAGATCATCTCAAACAGCATCTGAACACACCCCTATTCTGAACTCCCAGCCAAAGCCCAAATGTCCTGTTCTCAAAGGGAACTGAGTAGTGACATGAAGTCATGTCATGGTTTAACCCCAGCCAGCAGCTAGGCACCCCACACAGCCGCTCGCTCACTCTCCCCTCTAGTGGGATGGGAAAGAGAATCAAGAGTAGAAGTGAGAAAACTCGTGGGTTGAGATAAAGACAGTTTAATAGGGAAAGCAAAAGCTGCACACACAAGCAAAGCAAAACAAGGAATTCATTTACTCCTTCCGATCAGCAGGCAAAGTGTTCAGCCATCTCCAGGAAAGCAGGGCTCCATCACGCAAAATGGTGGCTTGGGAAGACAAACGCCATCACTCCGAATGTCCCCCCTTCCTTCTTCTTCCCCCAGCTTTATATGC